ATTTAAATCTACCGAATCGTCTTTGTTGTAGAACTTTCGGAGCAGTCCTTGAACGCAGCATTGCTTAGCTACGTTAACTAGTTTTTTTTTTGGTTTTTCTCAAAAAAATAGTCCGACAACAGATTCTAAAAGGCCGGAAGCAACAGTTTAAAATCGACCAGATATAGAAAAACGACAAATATACTACTATGGCAAGTAAAATCGCTTCTGAGGACAAAGAAAGGTCCTTCTATTTGGTCCGGAGCCGGTATCTGGAGGATCAGTTGGAGAGGTGAGACCGTTAGCTTCTCTTTTTGTTGAAGTAAACCCTCAATAGTTGTTTTAAACTAATGATTGTATAAATTTTTGTATTAGTGTTAATCTTTAAATATCTTCGTTTGTGTATTAATGCGGTACAAAGTACAAAAAACACGCCGTATTTGCGTTTCAGTTACAGGGACGTTAGCTACGTTAGCATTAGCATCAGTTTACATTGTCACTGCCAGAGCCGCCATGTTGACTGTTTGAAAAATAATACCTACAAATTCATATTAGTCCTCATAAAATCAAGAATGACTTGCCTGAGACTTAACTACAAGCTCAGTGTAGAGTGTATAAAGGAATGTGTTCGCCTTTAGCACTAAAGTAAATGGTAGAATATATATACAAGAATATATACAGTACTGTGCAAAAATCTTGGGCCACCAGATACAGCAGTGGAGTATACAGGAAGTATCTGCACAGTATTTAAAATGCAAAAAATGCAGAAAATACAAGTTTCTACAGGCTAAAGTGAAAGATATTTACTTTTTGCACTTCCTTGGCAACACTTTGCAGATTTGCTGCACGAATGTTTTCAAGAAATGCCAAATGTTTCTCATTTATTGCTTGTTTGTGTTAATGTGTGACACCAGGGAGTTTTTCTCTGATGTTGTCTCTTACATGGTCAGAGTCCAGGGCTGCTGGAAACCTGACATGAAAACTTACAGGAATTTTTTTACCAGATGACTTGATTAAACACACTTGGAAAATAGTAAATAAATCAAGATCATTTGGGGGGATTTTTTTTTAGTGGAGTGCATCTGCATAGAAAAATAAAAATAGCCAAGTCATTCAAAATAGTTTGCTGTGGATGATCAGATCTGGTTTTGCAGTCTTCATACAGAGCTTCGTAGAGCTGATTTAAATTGTCTAATCAGTTAGTTTTTTGTTATTATTTCTTCATGCAGTGCACAACAATTGCAAGATAAAGCTAATAAAGTTTGTTTTTGGTCAACATCATCCTCTCTGCAGCAGAAATATTTCCATATTAACTGATGTTAGGTTTCTGTTTGCAACCAGATCTTCCTTTTTGATGCTTTTCTCCTGTTCCTCGATCAATTTCCACGTGTTGTCTGCACGTAAACGCACTTCATGTCTTGTAAATATTGCAAAAGAAATCCCAAAACTGCTCAGTGTAGCTAAGAACCCTTAAATCAAAACACATGATGTTCTATCCATCTATTTATTTTTTGGATCAAGCAGAGGTGCTTTAGTTAATATACTTCTTGTCATGTGACTAAACATTGTCGTGCTGGTTACGCATTAAATTTGTGTTTTATTCAGTTTACTGCCATACATGACAAGAAAAGCAGGAAAAAAAGTCACATTTGAAAAGCTAAAGCTGGTAAATGTATGTCACACTGATTGGAAAATGACTAAATCAATAGTCAAATTAGTTAGTGAATAATTGTCCGTGTATTGAATAATGAATTCTGCTGTGCTTCCAAACCTACACTATTTCAGTATTTAAGCCAGTTTTATTTTACATTTTCATGTTAATGTTCATCTAACTGACTTCTGTTTGATCCCCACTTCTTTTTTGCGAATGATTAGATTAGTGGAAAATCTTAATGCATTTACTAGTTCCCCAAGTTAAATTTTTTCATGTATTTTTTAGTGTCCCTTCTGCAGCTCTTGGTTCCTACGATTATTTTTCATCTCACTTTTTACGTCTGTCACACAGTTTTAATCTGATCAAAACTCTCAGACACACTGTGCAGACATTTTATTTTAAATACTGTATTTATGGCATAAATCGCACTCAATTCTTGCGTTTCACTTGTCTTGATCCTGCAGGTGTCAGCCTCAATGTGACAAGCTGGAGACTGAGAACAAGGACCTCGTCTCTGAGTACGATGCGTTGGAGAAAGACAAGAGAGACGCCATTAAGTACCTGAAATGTCCGGTGGTGGTAAAAGAGAAGAAGGTGTCTGAGTTGTCTGAAGAGTTGGAGAATCAGCATCAAACGGCCGAATGGGAAAGAGAGGATTTAAAGCTGCAATACAGCAAACAGATGGAAGAGCTGCAGCGGCTGAGAGACGAGCTGGATTCAAAGAGGAGGATGCAGGATGAGACAGTCAGCCTACACAGTCAGTGTCATCTTTCATCTTCTCAGGAAGCGTTCAATTTGTGTGATTTTCATTGCAGTGGAGACACTAGATAGAGTTAGTTAGTTATACACGACTGATTGATGTCTTTATTTTTTCAGCGACATGTTTTGTGTGACCACCAACTTAAGTGATATATAAAAACTTCTGTTGATTGATTTTCTGTAGGCGGACAAAGGAGGTAAGCGGTTGGACAAGGTGGGGAAAATATATGACTTTTCTGACAGACACGGCTATTTTTAAAAGCTTAACTTCAATATTCACAGATGAGAACTCACGGATATGCACCGCTTCACACGTGTATTCATTACATTTTCTGAAAGGCATAGAAGATAGAAGAACTCTAGCTGTGTTAAAAATGGAAATAATAATGACAAAAATAAATCAACAGGAAAACAACAGGACTTCTCTGTAAACAATCTCTTACACTGGAGCAGCAGCTAAATATTGCACTGTCAAGTTCAGTCAAGAAAAAATAAAAATAGATTCAAGAACGTGGTCATGTTTGCAGAAATCATGACTAATTTCAACCTAAAAAGTTCAAATCATCAAGTCATTGTTGCAGGGTTTTAGTAGCTGACTACACAACATTGTAACAGTATCATCCAGATACAGGTGAGCCTCACGGTTTGTTGTTATTAACTGTGAATAGGATGGGACTCTAACCGAACCTTGAGGATCTTGCTTTGACGGAGAAGATCATTTCCTGTAATCACACACTGTTGTAGATGAAACTGCCAGTCCTGAGACCATTTACACGACACGTAGTCAAAACTAGTATCCTATAACCTTCGTAGCAGCACATTGTGGTCAACGTTATTGAGTGCTTTTGTTAAATTATCAAAAAAGGGCAGTGCAATTTTGCTCTTGGTTTACAGCAGATATTGTGCATTGGTCACCAGATTAATGGCTTTAGCCCAAACATTTAATCAGTTCAACAAAAACATAATCAGCAGCAGTGAAAATGATCGTTACCGTGTCCAAAAGTCTCTGTCTGAAGGATTCTAAGATGCCAAATTCGTGTGGATGCTGGACGTAGTCGTAATAGAAGTCACACATTTTAAGTAAAAACATGTTTTTGTAGATGTGACTTCACATCATCTGTTTTGGAAAGTTGCAGAGACCCCCAAGAAAGGTGTGGTGGGACACTTTATGCAATAAGAGAAGCATCCTCTCGTCTTTTCCTTTGTCGTAACTCCTCCCGTTTCTGCAGGAAATGACAGCTAAAGCACTGGTCATTTAGATCTAAATGGTATTTTAAATACCATTCTAATATTACCTCTCAATAGTATGTGCAATATTAGTTTCTGCATTTTATTTCATGTGTAGTATTTCATACTTTTATTTCTCGGGTGTTGTATTTCAGTTTCATGAGCAACATTGTCAGTATGTGCAATATTTCATTTCATTTTTTCATCATCATGTGTGACATTACTTATTGCATCAGTATAACTGGCAGCATTACTGTTTACTGTTGGCTTTATTTTAGTTACTTATTTTATATTATCTTCTTGTTTTTCTACTTTTCGACACTGCATTTCTTATGACATTAGTTTGTTTTTTCTGAGCAACAGGAATTAATTAAAGTTTTATCTTATCTTTACTTTCCTTTTGTCTCCCCAGCCGTCAAACTGGAGGAGCAGCAGACCGACCTGAAGCAGTCAATGCAGTGGCTGTCCGATGTGCAGTCTTTTCTCAGTCAGGAGGAGAACTTCCGCAAACTGCGAACGGAAACAGCTCTGATGAGGGAAAGGTAAAATCCAGGATCTCTATTTTTAATCTTAAAATGTCACCGAGCAAACAGTAAAATATTTACCGATTTGTCTCCTGTCCTGCAATGACAGGATACAGAGTAATATTGAGTGCATTGAGGAGGCCGGTGCAGAAGAGGAGAGCGAGTCCAGCGTTCCTCAGACGGTGAAGGATCAACACAGTGGACAACTGGAGCAGCTTCCATTCCTGCTGAGGGAAGCTGAACACCGCAGGGAGAAGTTGGATGCCCTACAGGACAGAGAGGAGGAGATTTGTTCTCAACTGTGCGCCTTGAATAAAGAAACCCTGGCGATGGAGATTCAGGAATGCAGCTCCAGCAAGGTAAGAGACAAGCGTTAACAGCTGGGTAAAGGCAAAGCAGGGGGCATCCGGACTTGAACCGGAGACCTCTTGATCTGCAGTCAAATGCTCTACCACTGAGCTATACCCCCACACTCTGGCTCATGTTTACACGCTGGTCTTCAGCTGGACTTTAGAGAACAGGACACCTTATTGTACGCAGTCAGTGGCAACACACACGATTATCATAATAGCCTTCCGATTTTCTGGAATTGCTCTGTTGTTAAATATTTCTAGAGAGAGGTACGCAGTGCCCTACGAGACATGTTCTGAAGGGTTCCAGGCGTGAAATGCCCCTAGACTCTTTTTTATGGCTGTTGAACTCAAGATGGGTTAAAAAAGGGAGAAATATTTGAGGGGTTCAGTGCCAAAGCGGGCCAAACCGCAGGAAATCCAAAGTTGAGTTTTGTGGGGTTTGTTTTTTTGATAAGTGTTTATGGTCGACTCGTCCGTGGCAAAGTGGTCCAACCAACTGCCCACTAGTAATGTCACAATGCCACTTTGAAATTTGACCCATGATGGTTTTGGCATGAAAATTTAGTGGCAAACTGGACCAAGCCACAGGAAACGCTGACCGTTATATCGCAGGTAGTTGCAACATGTTTGAAGATGGCGGACAAGCCCAGTGAAAACTCAACTTGTAGGTACGGTGAGGTAAAATAGAAACTTAACTAACCACCACCAAGCAGCTATTTCTACCCCGTGGTCCTCAAAAGTATCTCTAGTTCCTCATGATGTAAACTCTTCAGTGCTGTGTAGCAAGACAAACCTTGAATCAGTTAATTTCAATGTTTTCTGTGAGCTTAGAAAACAACTCATTTATGCCTTTTAGGAGCGGAGCGCATTTTAAAATGTAAAGCTCGTTTTCATGTAGTGGTTAGAAGCTAAAGTCATCACTGTGATTAAAAAGTTATTTAATTTTACAGCCTTACTACTGCATTAGCCGTTATAATTTGCTAGCTCACCTGCTCAGCGTCTTCCTTCCTGCACCTGCACAGCGATCATCAGGTGTATCTGAGTCGGCCCTCCGACTCTCTATCCGTTGAGGATCATTAGCTCAACGGGGTTAAAACAGTTAAGTGATCATCATGCGACCACTTGAAATTTTAACTCTCAAAAGAAGGTCACACTCTGGAGCCCTGGATTTATTTATTTATAGACATAATGCTGGTTTTGAAGTTTGTCTGTTGTGGCGTAAAATAGGGGGCATCCGGATTTGAACCGGAGACCTCTTGATCTGCAGTCAAATGCTCTACCACTGAGCTATACCCCCACACTAGCTGATGACCATGTACTCCCATCATGCACTGCTCTAGTGTCTCTGTTTTGTTTTGATGTGGGGTCACTGTTAGCAGCACGTACAGACGTCCGAGTATTCAGATGTCTGAGTTCATGCGTTGCTTTGCAGGATGTTAGGTTAATCGCTTGTTAACACCAGTTTGTAAAAGCAGCAGGTGAGCAAACATGGAGCGAGAATATGTGTCACACTGATAACAACTCTCAGATCGCCTTTCCTCTTAAAATGAGCGAGCGTCCAAGTTAAAACCTGAATTTATATGTGTTGTTTTTTTTTTTTTTTAAATACACCATCACTCTCAGTTTTCTTAGTTTGTACTGAGGAAGAACCGTGCGGTAGTGTTTAATATTCACTCCCATCAGTCACAGAATAAAACCACCGAGGCAAATCTGAAGATGCTGTGACTGTTTCTCTGCCTGACAGTGACGGGAGAAATTAGTTTTAGTGAAACAGTTTCATGTGCAGAGATGAAAACTTTGTCATTACAGTGGTTAATGTCCTCCCCAAAAAATGCCACAAAAAACAGTGAAGGTTGACTTTGTGATTAGACTTTTGCTGTAAAAGTAATTTGATAATCATTGACTCATAGTTTTCATTAATTATTGCTTGTATAATTTATTATGTCAAGTCAATGTCACGCTGCTTCTAAATTATAAAGATGAAGTCAGAGAATGGACAAAATCTAGTTGACTGGTGCTGAGTGAGTTTAAAAAGAAGTTTCACTATTGAAACTAAAAAGGGCTAGATTAGGTTTTCTGTGAAATGTAAGTCTGTCTTTCAGTAATAAATATTAAAATTATACACCCAAGGACAAGACAGCGAACATTTAAGTTTGTGCAATATTCTTGTACCTGAAAATAATCCTTTTTCACTTTCCTACAGGAGCGTGATATTGTTCACGACTAAGAAATCAGAACCAAAGATCATCAAAACTGAGTCTGTTTGATGTTTGAAAAGTCAGTTTGCTAACAAAGGTAAATAATGTAAACGTATAACAAAAATCACCAGATTTATTCACCACCTTCTCTTCTTCAGAAGCTGAATGAGTTAAAGGCGTTATACCTGCAGCTGCAGAGGGAATTCAAGGACGGTAGTGTGGCCCTGCAGGACGCACTGGACAAGACACAAGATGTCAGGTAGAAGTTTTTTTTCTATTTACCATCTAAGGATCAAATGTTTGGGCTGCAAGGTGGCGCAGTTGGTAGCACTGTTGTCTCGCAGCTAGACAGTTGCAGATTTGCATCCCAGTGAGGAAACCCGGGATCTTTCTGCGTGGAGTCTCCATGTTCTCCCCGTGCAGCGTGGGTTCTCTCCGGGTTCTCCGGCTTCCTCCCACAGTCCAAAAGCATGTTGAGGTCAATTGGTGATTCTAAATTGTCCGTAGGTGTGAATGTGAGTGTGCTTGGTTGTCTGTCTCTAAGTGTGGCCCTGTGATAGACTGGTGACCTGTCCAGGTGAACCTGCCTTCACCCTGACCCTAGTGAGGATTAAGCGGTGTATAGATGATGGATGGAATTGCTTATTGCTGTTTGATAAAAATTGCAATTAATCAAGAGTAATTAATTACAAAGCCTCTAATAATTACATTTTTTAATTGAATAAAATACAAATCAAATGGAAAGGAATTATAAAAAAAAGTTAGAAAAAGTAATAGAAATATTAGCAGTGTGCAGGAATGTGCAAATTAATCATCTGAGAATGTGCAAGATTATCAATTATATCATGTAAACAACTTGAAATATGCAAAGATATGATATGAATCCTATTTAAAAGTTGCGTGTTTATGCATGACAAAGGTCTGGTCTGGACCTGCAGATTAATTACAAAGCCTATAATTAATTCGATTTTTTAAAAATCGTGTCCCACCACTACATAAAAGTTGAACGAAAAGTCAGATTCAGTCAATTCAAACCCACGAGTGCTCCATCAGTCACGAAACGTTTGACCACTGAGCTACACTACGATCAGACCTGCTGCTGCGACACAGCGTCATCGTCTCCGTTGTGTTTTCAGACAGTGCCTGCACTCGAGGGAGTTTCAGCAGCAGTTGTCCGAGTTGGATGAGCTGAAGGCCAAGCTGCAGAAGGACAGGAGCCAGAGGACGGAGCTGGAGGGCGTGAAGCAGGAAGCAGTCGTCCTTCTCGGACTCATCCTGACGGTAAACAGTCCTGCCCTCAGTTATCAGTCCAGCTGCTGCAGCTGTGAAATGACAAACTGTCTGTGGGAGGGGAAGATTTATTGGTTATTGTTCAGGTCAGCTGGTTTTATTCCAGAGGTTGGATGTTCCATTCACCTCCTAACAAGACAAACATCCAGTGTAGCCAGAAATACAGAAAGATCTTTACCAAAGAGCTGAAATGCTGCTTTTAGGTTTTTTTTTCTTTGTTTCAGTGTGTTATGCAGCTGCTCTTTTGTGCGGCCCTTACAAGGCCCTCTGTACAGCCTTCAGTCTGTACAGGAGGCTACAGAAACACGCTGATTTGTTAAAATGCTATCGGACACGTTTATCAGTCTCCTGTCGTTTCAGCTACGACAGGGTAGCTTCTTAAATCGCTTAACATGTGATCTGTGTTTAATCAACATCAGTTTACTACTGTGTATAATTCAGCTGAGCATCTCCGTCTCCCAGACGACATAAATACACTGAAAACGTTGATAAATAGTCATCTGCAGAGGAAAGTAAGAAGAAAATATTACTGCACAGATGTTATTTAATGAATCCTCACACCCCACTTACTCGACCTTTTGGTTTTCCGCAGTGCTTCGTGAAATAAATAACTTTAATATACAGAAAACTAAAAGCAAATATTGTTAGTAGTTTATGATGTGCATCCTGAAAAAATTCAGCCTCTGACTGATCAACATCAACATCAGCAACACAAATATGTATTATTATTTTTACAGAATGAACCTTCAAATGCAGACAAATAAAATCTAAATCTCTCCATTTCAGCTAAAATCATTGCATGTTTGTATTTTGTCATAAAAACAAGTTTGAGTAATGTGAATAAACAAATACAATGCAATAGGGGAGGCCACTGTTAATTAGCTTGTCATTGTAGATGTGTGAATCGATTGATTTTATTGAACTTACAGCATTCCAAATGTCACTTTGTACAGATTTGTAAAATATCCACGCAAACAGTGCAATGAAAAACACATTATTAGCTATTCTGCCTGATATATCCAAATCACATGAGAAAAACGTTGTTTTTTTGTCGTCTTCAGGACTCAGAACAAGTGTTCGCCACTCAGTGGAAGGTGCAGAGGATGCTGGAGATCCTGGAGAGCAGCGCCCCCCCCCCCTGGGAAACAGAGCTCAGCCTCAGCGACTCTCCTCAAGGACCAAAACCACCAGAGCTCCGAACCAGTCAGGTACTGGAGTTACTCTCCTCTGGACTGAGTCTGTTAGCTGTATGACTTGTGAAAACAGTGGTGTGAACTAGGGGTGTCCTGATCCCATGCCAAAGAACCGGATCAGGACCATTTAAGACATTTTTACCTGATTGTTATTGGAAGAAACCAAAGTTTACAACCCTTCGTTTGTGTCTGCTGCCACACAGGTGTTGTGAAGGGTTAGCATAATCTGTGGCAGGACACTAGGGATGCAAATTAGGAATAATGATCGACATCAGTAATCTGGAGCATTGTCAATCAGTAACAGATTAAGTGATAACAGTGGACACATGATTCGACCTGCTGAAGCAGCTCTGTTACATATACCACTAAGCTATAACAAGCTGTTCTGGTCTAAACACCTGAGCCCCGATTGGAGACCATTAGGGGCCCATAAGTCTTTGTCCTGGTGCCTGTTGCTAGCTGAGCCCCCACAATGCTCTCTGCTTGTCAACAGTAACTGACTGTACCAAGTGACGCCTCCTCTGGTCACTAAAGTATTAAACAGTAAGAGACACAGCTAGCCACAGAGGCTCCTCCCAGTGGAACAATCAGGCACTACAGTTAATCTACAGCACTTTGTATCCAATAACAATTGTTTATTTTGGCCTACTTTTGCAAATTATGCATTTTATTAGTACGTTGCAGCCACACAGCTGCAGTGAGACTTTAAAAAAACAAAAAAGATACAGTCATAGTCTGCTCAGTAAACCAGTTTTTCAATTAAAAAACAAACAAACTAATAATGTTTATTTTATTTTTCTATTTTCACTGTATCAAAAATGCCACAAACTGTGATTATTGTGTACCCTTACATCTTGATAGTACGTGTCAACAGGATCCGTCAAGGTCTCGCCTCCCATTCATTGTGTGTGTGAAATGCTCCATGTCCTGTTCTGGAGCATTGCGGGGAGTTTTGAGTGACGAGGCGTAGCGTCGTTGCTCATTTGCATAAACTAAACTTGACTTCTACTTTATGCAAATTTGAAGCGGGGCGAGGAGGTCCGACCCCTCTCGTAGCTTTCATAAAACGGCTAAACTAGCCGTGAATTAAAATGAGGACAGATTCAGCAACTGCGTAGCTTATTTAATGTTTTATTAAATGTTTTCAGAAATACTTTTCTCTGAACAGTTTTCGTAATAAAAGCGAAAATTTGCAGCCAAGCCGCCATGTTGGTTCACTGCTTCTACAGGACTGGCATCTGGTGAAGGGAAAAATGGCTGTCATGTGACCACCTTGTGGCTCACAAGTGCGCGCCTATCAAACGGGCAATTTTAAGAAGCAAGGCGTTACTGAGGTCCGAACTACGGTGAACTGAAAACGGGTCAAAACCAGCCAGCGGATGGTAAAACTGTCTGTGGAAAATATGCTGCTACTCCATGGATAAATAACGACAAACTGACAGTGAATGATATCAGAAGTAAAACGAGGAGGAGACCTGAGTTTACGGTGAATGAGGCTGCCTCGTCCCTACGACCTGTCAATCATTCCAGAGCAGACTGTCAATCAAATAGCTCCGCCCCCCACATGACCGCAACTTTGACTATTTATATAAAATATCAGATTGGCCTCCTGATGTCTGGGTTTGACCATGAAAACTAACGAAAAATAAATCCTGAGCCGTATTAAAGCTGTCTTTCGTGATCTGTGTTTTCCTGTTTAGAACTGGCCTCTATGGGAGCTTTTTGAAGCCAGCACCTGTGGACCGTTGTGGTACTGCAGGTTTTTGACACACCCGGGTTGGCTTCATTTTTCAGGGCCGGTTGCTACATCCACTGTTCTTATACAGTCTGTGTGCCCATTTCTAGCTAAACCCCCACAATGCTCTCTGCTTCCCAACATGAACTACCTGTAGTCTGAGTGACGCCTCCTCTGGTCTCTACAGGGACATGGAACATTAAGGAATGGACTGAATGAAGAGGCTAATTTAGATTGAATCACTCAGACTCATTTATTATTGCATTGCAGAGCTACTCAGTTGTCAAACATATATATTTGGTTGACTTTTATGTACTTTAAGTGTGTTTTATCTAAGAAAATGGTATTGGACTGGGACTCTGTATTGGCAAGATATTGAATTTTAAACAAAAAAACAGACATCTCTAGTGTGAACTCTGCTGGCAGATTTGTTTGTTTTGAAAACCCCTGAACACACAGCAGCTGTTTCCTCTCAGCAATTGGCTGCAAACTGAGTCACACTGGAGATTAAGTTAACTGGTCTCATCGAAATAGTCACAACAGTGGATCGCCATGAAGAAACCACATTTGTCCACTAAAAAGGCTACAAAGACAAGACCAAACTCCACATCGGTCCAGTTTGACCTGACCTGACATTTCTTCTTATTGTGCTGCCACAATAGCATTAGTCTACTTCAGCTTGTGTCAAAACATGCAACCAGAAAAGATGAGCTTTTAGGGGATTTCCAAGCATTTTAGGCTGAAGAAATGCAAAGGGAGAAGGAAGATTTGGCAAATACGTCTGTTTGTTTTGGTCTGAGATGTTGGCGCTGTAGTCGCCACATTCACTGGTGCTGGAAGTCGTATATGAAACCTTTAAAAATTACCTTAGAATCCTGCAACCCATCTTTGAAAGATCTCAAAATGCAGTATGGATCTACTTCTTTGGTGGTTTTCATAAGACATTAGTGACTCAGGAGGATGAAGTCACTGGGAGTAAAGAAGATCAAGTATTAATGTTTTTAAACCTCTGAAACCCACCAGCGTGTTTTCTTTAAAATTGTCAAAACTACACCATTTGTCAGAGCCAGAAACTTTAAAGACAGAAGGAATCACTGGATTTAAAATTTTCCAACGGCCCTTTACCAAATCATGTATGACCTGCTGTTCTCTTGGGAAATTCAAACCAAAATCTAAGCTTAAAATAGTGCTATTTAACCAAAATCATTTTATTCTATATGTTTTAGTAAGAAATAAACCGTTTGCACCAGATTCTGTTAAAGGTGTGACCAAATAGCCACGTGACAAATTTCCTAAACTTTTGAACTGCAAGCAGCGTGTGAGAGAAAAAAAACCAAGAACATATTGGATAAATAAAATAAATGCAGCATGGCTCAAGAACTGTATACAGAGGAGCAAGCAAGTTTTGTACTTCCAGCCATGTTTGTGCTGTTTCCACAGCAAGGTTTTATATGGCAGAGAAAAATAAAGCCCAGGAACAAAAACTACCCGTAAACTAATTGGAGTTCAGAGGGTTAGCTCACATTAGTCCCGTGTTTGCAGCTGGGACGCTGCAAAGTTGTTCTGTACCTTCCAAACTTTTATGAAGTGTCTCATAGTGAAAATATGTTTTACATTTTGTAAATATAAGCTCCTAAGTCACATGACATTGCTTTAATTGAGGGCTGTATTAACCGTAAAGGCAACATCCATAAATCTGCAGCTACAGTGTTTTCGTCAACTGTTTTCGTACAAACGCTGTTGCTCTTGTCGTCTTTCAGCAAACCCAGCAGTCGGACCACATGCGGCTCCATCGACCCGTCTGACCCGACGCCTCGACATGCTGATTCAGAGGCAGGCGCCTCCAGCTCTGCAGACCACTGAACCAAATCCAACACCAAGGAAGATAAGTGTTTTTCAAGCCGTCACCCCCGGTCACAATAAACGGTTTAGTCACTTTAATCCTGCTTCTGCCATGACTGCACGTCTTTGAATTTGTAGATAATTGATGCTCTGAATTGCAATTTTACTTTATTTTTTTCTGAAATATTCAGTTTGACTAAATGATTACATTTATTGTACTATTGTTTTTTTACTGGAAAATGCTCACTGTGAATTCCCGGATCCCAAGCTACTATCTGACCAATGGTGCAAAACCCAAAGACTTTTGACTTACAGTGAGGAAAAAAAGGAAATTCTCATATTCCACACAGTTGGACTGAAAAATATTCAGCATTTTCGCCTCATAGATGACATTAATTGGTTGTTAAATTTGTTGATTTTATCTTTTAGAACTTTCCACGAGAATTGCATTTACGACCGTGATCATTTTTTTGCAATATGGACACCAACTGGTCCATCATTAATCTCATAGTTCAATTTGTGGAGCTAAAAATGAATGAATGCAAATCATGTGAGACTACAAAATCATTACTGATTACGTCAAACCTTCCTCTCTGCTCCCTAATGCCTGTTTCTGTTACAAGAGGACGCTGAATCCCAGAACATAGACTCTCTAAACTGTCATAAAACAAACACAGAACAGTCAGTAATGACAGATTTGCAGTCAAGGCCAGATTATAAAGCTACAAAAACCAGGACTGTTTCAAGGGAAATAGTTACACAACAGTTCTGGCTCGTGACACAACTACACGGTCCAGATTGCATATTTTCCTTTTTACTGTAAGTACATACTGCTGCTGCTCCCCTGTAAACTCTGTACTGTTTTATGCAGCATGTTTACAGCTGGGGCGTACTTTTTATGTCAAATTATTTAACCTTTGTGAGCTGCAGTCAGTCTGTTAAAATTTGCAAGATACTGTGACAAACGTGTGCAGAGGATTGTGGGTCAGAAAAGCATCTTGGCTGCAAACTGCAAATCATAGAATGTCTGGTTATTTCTGCCATGCTGCATTTGACAAACTAAATCGTTTTCTGGTGAATTATAAAGTATGGAACTATATATATATATATATATATAAACACGTAATGATCTGGCTGTTCCTCACTAAGGCACAAGGTGGGTCGGTGGTTAGCACTGTTGCCTCGCAGCAAGAAGGTCACCGGTTTGCGTCCCGGTGAGGACACCCGGGATCTTCTGCATGGAGTTTGCATGTTCTTCCTGTGCAGCGTGGGTTCTCTCCGGGTTCACCGGCTTCCTCCCACACAGTCCAGAAGCATGTTGAGGTTAATTGGTGATTCTAAATTGTCTGTAGGTGTGAATGTGAGTGTGCTTGGTTGTCTGTAAGTGTAGCCCTGTGATAGACTGGTGACCTGTCCAGAGTGTCTCCTGCCTTTGCCCTGAGTCAGCTGGGATAGACTCCAGCCCCCCATGACCCTAGTGACGATTAAGCGGTGTACAGATGATGGATGGATGAATGGATGGATGTTCCTCACTATTATTCTGCTGTAGGTGGGTAAAAAGCTCTGGCTTGTTTAAACCAATCACAGTTGCTGTGGGCGGAGCTAAGTGAAGGATACAGCTTCATTGTTCACTTAAATAGTCACAGGTTGAAGTACTTGAGTGGAAGGTTTTCACGCAGGCAGACGAGCATTGTGAGTGAAATAAAACTAGCACTTCTGCCTGACTGCATGAACCAAATCTGCTGCAAAACTTGAAATTTTCAAAGTGGTAAGTTGCTTCTTGGAGGTTGTTGATGTTTTCTGTAGTCACAAGGATTTTGAAAATGGTATAGCTGCAGGAGAGGAGGAAGCCAGCTGACAGGAGTGGCCAACGCCAGATGATACCTGAATCCTACATCAGGTGTGTCAAACGAGTGGCAGGCCAAAGCCTCACTGAGAACACAGGTAGCTAAGCTAGGCTAGGCTAACTAGGCCTGATGCTGCTGTATGCAAAAATGCAGGAGAATGTTATGAATGAGCATCTAACAAGAACAAAACGGAAACTAACTGACCAGAAACATTGAGCTGGGAATGAGTCAACCGCAACTAAGAGTGTCATAAATGACAGAACAGGAGCAGAATTGTAGTCTAACAGAGTTCAAGCTAGTGAGCACATAACCACTTGAATGACTTCAATTCATAGGAAGAATCAGCTGATTGTTTAAAAATCTACAACAGCTTTAGTATATGTTCTGAAGCCATACAAAGTTTTACCTTCATACTATAAATATTTTCAGAGTTACAGGCTCCCAAAGGCCTAAATCTGTCACTTTTTATTGACTTTTTCCGTCATTTCTGAGCCTCAGAACTTCATCAGTCCAGCAGACAGACACATGACATGTTAGGATGAGAAACACATCTGAGTTCTGGTAGAAACTGACACCAGATCAGTTTTACATCCATCCAGGTGTCACAGTCTGAACACTGGATCTGTTTTTTTTTCTCCATGATTGTTTCATAATTTTGAGCATCAGAATTATGGGATGTATTGCAGTGTGAACAATAAAACTGCAACAGTTTAATGTCTATTAGTCATAGAAACAATCATAAATCCCTCCAACTTATCCATGTTTTCTCAAAAGCTTCCCAAAATGACAAAAACGGTCCAAAAAGACTATCAACTCGTGCAAAATACCCCAAATCTTTTGAAAATGCCTCAAAACATTCCCAAAATTCAATTTAAAAAAATGGAGAAAATTGACTTAAATGCAATTAAATTGTCTAAAATTATTTAAAACCTGTTGAGTGAGTAAAATTAAGCAAAAAAATATCAGAAAAAACATCCCCAATTAACTACAATTTTTTAACTTTTTAAAAATGTCCATAATGACACAAAAATACCCCAATCAAGTTTATAGCCAGCTGGTAGCATCAGTATTATGGGATGTCTCATAGTGTGAACAGTCAGATTGCAGCAGTTTAATGCTATAGAGTCATAGAAACAATCACTGGTAGCCTGGATGTGTTTCTGATCATGCACCAGAGAAAACTTTACAAAGTGCATTCTGGGTAAACTTTCCAGGCTCATATCAGCATGTGTGATGGTGGTTGGTCAGAACAAGTTCTAGATGATGGAAGGAGCATTTTTACCATCATGTGATACCAGGAGCAGAAAAAAATAGTTAAAAATATTTTAGCCTACAGCGTCTTGCCTTAAACACAGCTTTAAATTGATAAAAAAACTACAAAAAACAATTCTTGTTGAAGAGATATTAGTAGTAAAGGAAGAGTTTTATTACTGTTTATGAAGCTATACAATTCAACTAAATTGCAAAACATATCATTATAGGATCTTAACCTCATTGTTTCTGCTTTTGAGATATCCATTGCATATGAAAGGTGTCATTTTTACCTAAAGGCTCATTTTCTATCTCTGATTCCTTCTTTTTAAATTACATTTCTACTATAGTCACATTTAAGCACTCGCCAGTGAAGGTTATGGCTATAAAATAAAGAAACAATACTGGTGTTTACATGTTTTATGTAATAGTTTTGACAAATCACAGTGATCAAGTTTTCGTAGTTTGATTTAATCTACTAAAGTTACTGTACATAAAAACAATCTGCTGATTCTGAGGCGGTCAGGTGGTACATTTTTCATATTTGGTTGATTTTATATGGAGTAAGTCTCCTGTAATCAGCACTCACAATCACTAAACCACAGCCAGAGAGAGAGAGAAAAGGAGGCTGTCAGGAGCTGAAGGCACGTCAAGCTGACAGAAATGCGGTATTCTCAGCAGTGTTTACAAAACGCAGGGCCGAGCCCGAGGCCGAAGGTTGGACCGCCCAACCGCGACGGCCCGATCACTTTGAACTGTCAGCACCGTTTAAAAATCAGCGAGGAGGAGAGGCGGAGCCCTGCTCTGACGGAGCACAACAGGCTCGGCAGGAGAGGAGTGAAAACACAAGAGGGAACGCAGTGGACACGGAGCATCTGCAGCCTAAAGCCTCTGGAACCATGGAGCTCTATGTGGATCTGCTGTCGCAGCCCTGCCGTAGCGTCTACATGTTCGCCAAGGCGCTCAAGATTCCCTTTGAGTTAAAGCTCGTCGACCTCTCTGCAGGTAATCCCACTCACGTCTCTGAGTCAAACAAGCAGCTGCATTACTCTTTCTGAAACGTCTTGGGGAGCCTGAAAGAGAAATCCAGCCGCTTTTTATTTTATTACAACAACTTCTGTGACAGACACATTTTTACAGTTTACAATCTACACGACAGCAGCAAATTTATAGATTTTACCCACAAACTTTAAACCTGTTGCATCAGTTTGCATGCGTAAAAGTCTGCAGGATTGTATTTTTCCAGCGTTTTTCTTCTCTTGTGGAGTCCGGAAACTCATTTTGCAAGAGTTGAGCGTCCCGCAGGATGTGACCGTGTTCTGCAAGCATTTAAAAAAGAAAAAAAAACATCAAATTCTCCTCGGGGCTCTCAGCTTACGTTGTCACATTTCACCCAGAAGGCTGACATCCAGTGAGATAAGGAACATGTTAACCCTTAGATGCCCAACTTCTCCCCTCTGGAGGGGGTTGACTGTAACGGAGACGTGCCTGGGAATGAAAATAAAGTGATAAAGGAGGAAACACAGACAGACATTTTAGTGTTTGTTATCCTATTTTCTCTGCATGGTTTGGCAACACTTTAACCTCAGTCGTGTACTATGTGTGCACGTTTTACTTCTATCTGCAACACAAAGTAACATTAAGCACATTTTACTTTATTTTTTTAAACAGCTGTGGATCAAATTTTTGGTGTTTTTGTTTCAGGGCAGCAGTACAGCGACGATTTCGGAAAACTCAGCGTGGTGAAGAAGGTTCCTGTCCTGAAGGATGGCGACTTCGTTCTGACTGAAAGGTTCCACAGTTTGAGCTTA